CAAGGTCTAGTTGACACTTTTTGAATTTGTAGCAAATTGGCTTGGCAAGTCTACAGCAAGAGTCCTGCAGGTCTTAGCAAGAGCTCTGCAAGCTCGCTGGTCTGGAGACTTGCAATGCAGACTTGCTGTAATTGTGCAACAAAATTGTGAAGCTTGGCAAGTCTGCAATAGTTTAGCAAGTCATTTTCAACTTGCAGCTCAATTGCTTGCTATCTGGGACATTACTGACCTCTGCACTATGTGTTACATTACTGACCTCTGAACTATGCATTACATTACTGACCTCTGCACTATGCATTACATTACTGACCTCTGTATTGTGTGTTGCATTACTGACCTCTGTATTGTGTATTACATTACTGACCTCTGCACTATGCGCTACATTACTGACCTCTGTATTGTGCGTTACATTACTGACCTCTGCACTATGCGTTACATTACTGACCTCTGTACTGTGCGTCATACCACTGACCTCTGTACTGTGTGTCATACCGCTGACCTCTATACTGTTCACCATACCTCTGGCATCTGTACTGTGCGTCGCACTGCTGACCTCTGCACTCTGTGTTGTTACTGATCTCTGTACTCTGTACATTTCTCCAGTGCGGGACCTGAAGGGAGGCTCCAAAGAGGCTGCTGACTAGTTTTCCTTAGATTAGAAAATAGAAATGTTAGAAAATGTTCCTGCATCCCCCTGCAAAAATTGTCCTGTTGAAACCCACCACCCTGCATCCATCACTTACCTAACCTTTAATCCCAACTATGGGGTACAGACCTTACCTGACTTGTCCTCTCAGCTATGGGATACAGACCTTACCTGACCTCCCGTGCCAGCTATGGTTTACAAAGCTCACCTGACCTCCAATCCCAGCTATGTGGAGCAGACCTCACCTGACCTCCAATACCAGCTATGGGGTACAGACTTCACCTGACCTCCAATGCCAGCTATATAGGGAACAGAGCTCACTTCACTTCTTATCCCAGTTTGAGGTACAGAGCTCACCTGACCTCTCCCCCTGTGATCCTCCCACCGGTGCTAGCCTTGGGCGGCACTCTTCTTGCCACTGTGCCCATGTCTTCTCCCCCCACCTCCTCTGTATCCACTGGCCCCCCCCCCTCCGGCTCTTCCACTGCCACTGTGTCCACCTCTCTCCTCTCCCACCACCGCCTTTGTGTCCATTGGCCCCCCTGGCTCTGCCCCTGCCATTGTGTCCACCTCTCTCCTCTCCCACCACCGCCTTTGTGTCCATTGGCCCCCCTGGCTCTCCCCCTGCCACTGTGCCCATCTCTCTCCTTTGCCACCACCACCTCTGTGTCAACTGACCCCCTCCGGCTCTTCCACTGTCACTGTGCCCATTCTCCTACCACAACCTCTGTATCCACTGACCCCCTGGCTCTCACCCTCTCCCCTGCGATCCTCCTGCCAGTGATAGCCTCTACTATAATAACATAAATTAGGCAGCCGCGAAGCACCAGCGTGGGCTGAGGTGACCACCTAATTTGCCTGACACAGTGCATGCACACGAGTTATATCCACACCCCAGAATCAGTGCACACTGATGAGTGCACACTGCACAGCTTATTCACCATACAGTGCACACAGAAAATAATTATTTGCTAGAGAAAAAAAAGAGGAAGAAGTTGTTTTGCAGAAGACACTTTGCATGTCATCCTACCTACTAATATTTTTTTATTACTTTACATCTGTTTTAATGGAAGATTCAATATGATTTGCAGGGCCATCTCAAATAATTAAAATATTTTATATATATCAAAGATTAATATAAAAAAACCCGGGAAATAAGGGGTTCTTCCATATGTATATGTCCTCCCAATAGGTCATAGTTAAATTTGCTTAGCTAGAGGCATAATTTTCCCCCATGGCTGTCCCTGTTACTTGTTAAGGAAAATAAATTAGGAAAAGAAAAAAAATTGTGTTCAAGCATAAGAAGTGTACTGTCCACAATGAACTGTGCATAAATTGTATGTCAGGCATATACAGTAAACACACATCCAGGGATACCCATAAATAGGTTCCCAACTATGGCCACATAATGTTTACAGTAAATGTGTAGTATCTCTAATATATGGTGGAACAGATGTTACAATGGGCTGTACTAGATAATCGATGTATTGAAGCAAAGGCAGCTCTAGACTTTGTGAGGCCTTCCATGGATTCCAATAAAACCAAAATTTGTGCACAAATCCTTTGTGAAAAGATGTGCTAAACTTGTTTGACAGTAAATGTGATGATTCGGAAAAATAATAACTTAAAAAGCCATACTGTAAATAGGATCACAATGTGACAAATGTAATCAATAGTGGGATCAGCAAAGACCTTTTTTTATTTTCCTCTTGTTGCCTACAAATCCGCTCATTGAACACAGTTTCTTCTCACTGACATTTCCACCCTGAGATCACTACTTAGTAAACTGACACAGACTGCTGATTGTTACATTGTGGTTTATATGTGTCTTATTGGTTATCACTGTTTACAGTTATGCATCATTTCCCATCCTAGATGCCTGCATAATATTATCATCAACTAATTAGGTTGGAACTGAACACCTTTGGACATATACTGATTTATTTATTCATATCTTTCACTCACATTCACTGCTAGATCGTTCCCAATGAATATATGATATATTCATTTTCCTTTTCAAACGTTGCTTTCCTTCATTTATGGTTTGACACTTTTCGTAACACCATAAGATTTTTCACCAATTATCAATTCACTATTGATTACATTTTTGTCACATTGTCACACTGTACTGTGTATTACATTACTGACTTCTGCACTATGCTTTACATTACTGACCTCTGCACTATGCGTTACATTACTGATCTCTATTGTGTGCGTTACATTACTGACTTCTGTACTGTGTGTCATACCACTGACCTCTATACTGTTCGCCATACCTCTGGCATCTGTACTGTGCGTCGCACTGCTGACCTCTGCACTCTGTGTTGTTACGGATCTCTGTACTCTGTACATTTCTCCAGTGCGGGACCTGAAGGGAGGCTCAAAGAGGCTGCTGGAGGCTTCACCTCTGTACATGGAGGCAACATTGCTGCACCTTTGTGTCACACCGCTGGCCTCCGTACTGTGCATCAACTCGGCTGGTCTCTGTACTCGGTCTTACACCAAGAAAATAGTCTCTCCCTTTGCCGCTCTGACTGCGCTGCCCGGCCGCACCGAACAAGCAGCAGGTGCACATGTCCCTTGACGTCACCTGGATCTGCCCCTTAGCCGGCTCCACGGCATGTAGCCGTGGAATTTGAACATTGAATTTTGTCCCTTCGTCAGCTGCCGAGGAACACCGTTCTCCATCCTGAAAAGAAACACTACTTACCTCATCGCTCTCCAGCCTGAGTTCCAGGTTGACAGGCTGCAATGTTCCTTACTCCTGCCCTTTGGAGCTCCACGCTGACACGATCAAAATAGTGCTTGCAACATTTTGATTGCACCAGACCACAGGCACAATGTGCCGGGCGATCGCATTGCGGCCGGAGGACGTGGCTCCATTGCCATTCACTTCAATGGCCAGCCTCATTTACCCACCCCCAAATTTTCCAAGATACACAGCTTTTTGCTACCTACAGGACATTCAGTAATTTCCTACCACTCCTGGCAAACAGTGACCAGGATTGTCAATCACCCATTTCACTCTGCTCACAAAAAGAGAAAGTACAGTGCTGGGAAGTGAATTTTGAGAAGTGAGGGTAATATCAGCAGAATTGCTGATATTGCACAACACTTTGACCTTTCAGTCTTCTCCTGAAGTTATAAAACTGTGAATACGTCACTAAAAAAATAAAGTATTTTCACAAAGTAATATCTCTGACAAACCGAGTTTTTCACTTTTAAAAGTTTTTTGAGAATTAAAGTGTATATTTTTTCTCTGGTTAGGTGATTCATTTAGATTTACACATAAAATGTTACCTTTTAACTATGTTACCTTTTAACTATGGTCACATTCAGGGCCGGATTTACCATTAGGCAGAGTAAGCATGTGCCTACAGGTGTCCTCCATAAAGGGTGCCGTGCAGGCACCTACAATGCCTGATTCCTAGTGTTGAGTCAAGATACAACACCTGCAATAGCAAGGAGGGTGCATTATGCTCAAAATGCACCCTCATGCTCCAAGACCAGCGGTTCCTATAGGAACCGCCGGCTTCTGCAAATGCAGAGGAAGAACCCCAGTGCTGCATAAGGCTGCCCTGTAAAAAACCTATCTAATGCAGACAGGCATTTAGGGCAGCCTTATGCAATGCCGGGGTCCTTCTCTCTGCATATGTGAAAGTCGGCTGGTCCCGCAGCAGGTAGGGGCGCTGGTTCAGGCTAAACAGACTTCCATTCGTATCTACAGGCAGCCAAAATGGAAATCCGGCCCTGATAACACTGAGGACTTTCTGTATACTGCCTTTGTATAGAATACCCTAAGATACTGTGAATAATTTCCTGCTCTTACAATCAACTGTTTTTCTCAGCAATTAATCTGCAATGGTCATTTAATTTCCAAAGACTTGCAACAGGCAATTGCCTGCAATACATTTTGCTAAAAGCCTTGCAATACATAGAAAAGACATGAAGAAAATGTTGTGTTCCCACAAAAGTGAAACTTGGCTTGAAATGTAATGTCTGTAGTATTAGGAAAGTGACCCTGTCACTACAGTGTGTTGAAACTCCATTCTGATGCTGCTCCCTGGCTGCTGCATGTAGTCAACCCTTTTGGTGAGCCCTAATGAGGAACCAGAGCAAGCAGTGGGGGGCAGCTATTCCACACACCTAAAGTGAAGAATACCTGCAGCAGCCAGAAAGTAGTGATGCAGTGATGTTTCAACACACATGCCGTCGGAAAGGTAAGTATATACCGTATAGCCTCTTCTGTTTCTAGGCATGTCTTCTTTCAGTGTTGACCCTGTATTCACAGGAAACTTTAAAATCAAGAAATAGTATTTATTACGTTGATAAAAAAAGAATAGTTTATTCTTACTGCCAAATATGGGCACAGCAATGTTTTCTTCTCTGGATACAGTTGAGGGCATCCCAGATGCAATCACTGCAATCCCATCAAAGAATGAAGAGTGTGGAGCAACCACAAAGATTGGAGATTCAGAGAAATTTGCAGGCTTTCCAGTGATACGAACATGGAATCCCATCGAGAAATAAAGGAGACGTCCAAGGCAACATAGAAAGTGCTTTGATACATTTCTGCCAGAAACATTTGGAAAAATATAATGAATTAGTAATTAACAATAATAGAAAATTAATAGGAAAATTGTCATGCAACTTACATTTATATAAAAACATTTTGTCTGCTATTTAGATGCAAGTGCTACATTAATAAAATTATAGCTTTTTTGGATGAATTGTATTGGAAATTTAAAGAGCCACCAAATCAAATGTATTTGCTACTAATTAATGGCTTACTGTGAGCCTCAGTTGAATCCTAATTTTAGTAGTACTGTTTCCTTTGCAGTGGGATCAGCTGGCATCCGTCCCTCCAGTCAGAGCTGAAGGAACAGAGAGGGGGGAGGGGGGAATCACTGCGGGAGTGGTGACTAACAGTCACCGCTCTCTGCAGGGAGACGATTGTGAACAGAGCGATCAGTGGTGTGCGATAGCTCAGTTCTCCATTTATGGAGCCGACGTGTGACAGCTTCAGTGTCACATGTCGGCTCTAATTATGGGGAAGAGAGTGTATTTCGCTCTCCTCATAATTCTCCTTTAAGTACATATTTTTCCTCTATGTTCACAAAAGAATAGCAAATGCCAGGCAACATCAAGAAGAAATGTAGCCAATGCCCTCCATTCAACAATACATTCCTACCACAAGAGAATGTGTAAACAAATGTAGAAATGAGTGTAACTGAGCCCAGATCACATCTGTTCCAATTCACTAAAGGAATAATCTCAGGCACTGTATATTGTTTCTTATGTAGCGCTTACCCCCGAAGGAGCCGTCAGAATAACTCTGGTCATCACTAGTTGTCTAGGGGTTTTGGTATTCAGCAGCCCCATTAGCATTTAACCCCCCTCTCCTAGCGCCCACAAAGCGGATGTCCACTCCAGTAGTACAATGCTGAACAACTTTTATTAACATCTTCATGCTAGGGAGAGAGGGTATAGGGATCCTAGAAATCCAGGGTAGTGCAGACAGACTCAAGACTCACCAGACCTGCTTAGTGGGGCTAGTATTTTCCCACAGTCAATGCCCTCTGTGGTAGGGCATGTAGAAAACTACCCAGAAGGTGGGAGTTTAAGCAGACCCCATGTATGTGATGTCTTAGGGGAACTTGGTTGGGGTGGGATTGTGCAGCTGGGATCTGAGTAAGATGTTTAGGCCCCTCTACCCTACCTATTGGCAGCTTAAGGTGTGGGGAGGCATTTACTTGCTTGTTATAGGCACTGGCCCTTGCTGTCACTCCCTCTGTTTTGACTGCATGCTCTGCATTGTCAGGCAAAGACCAGCAGAAGAGCAGCTCATGGTAATTAGCATCCAGATGTCTTGAAGGGCTTATCACTAAACTGCAGGTACTAGTGAGGGAGTCTGTTAGGCAGAGAGAGTTCTGCGTGTGCAAGGACTTTAAAAAGGCCACGTGTGAGCTTATAGAGGTGGCGGCTTCACCCATGGCAGTGAAATCGCGTTTTAATTGCACTATTTGACCAATATGGATCTCTTGTCCTGGTCAGCTTAGTCACAATGACATGGGGTGGAATTTCGCTTCATCATGACCATGTTCTGTTCCCCCAAGTGCAATATAATACACTTTTGTTTTTGTTGTACCTCTGAAATATTGCAAACTAGAAGTAGGTCTTTTGACATATTCTTGGCTAAGAAAGGAGTGAATGTGCATTGACTTAAGGATTCATATAATTAACTAAGGATAACTTAGGATACCTTCCTTAACATGATCTGTCTTTTACCATTCCCAGACACAGCTCCCCCATCCTATGAGAATGTTAATTTCCCATCCGAGAACTAGCACATGCACAGTACAGCTGCAGGTCTCAGACTAATGATCAAGAATCGATAAGTATGGTTTCTAATCATGGGATCACTGTGGTGATCCCATGTCAGCAGACACTGAAGGTTTGTTTGCACACTAAGTTGCACACAAACTTTTGTCAGTAGATGTCACTGTGTCTCTCTCTCTATCTCTCTGCACATAGCATAGAGCGGAGCCAGTGTTACAGTGTTTAAAAAAGCAGGTTCATAAATAGTTTGCCCTATATGCCCAATTCCCTTTAGATTTTGTTTTTCATAAGCTAGAAGAATTTGCTTACGAATAGTGTAGGATTAATAACTAAGTAAAATACTTCCCACACTGCAGGTGTTAAATGGTCGTTAAGTCTAGGATCAGAGGAATAAGCTGTAATATTTACCTTATTCCTGTGCTCCCCCAGCTGCTGGCACTCTCCTCTTCACTGAGACACTCTGGGTTGTTGGTGAGCCCTCGCTATCATCACGTACAATGCAGGACTGAGTTCAGCATTGAATGTGATGTGTCAAGCAAAGCTGGATTTCCATTACAGGCACCTGTAGGCATATATCTGTTTAGCCTGAGCCGGCACCCTTACCTGCTGCGGGACCTGCAGGCTTTCACCCCGGCATCGCGGAAGGTTGCCATAAATGCCTGTCCGCATCACAGGCATTTTACATGGCAGCCTTATGCAGTACCAGGATCCTTTCCCTGTGTTTACAGAAGTCGGTGGTTCCGGTAGGCGCCGCTGGATTTGGAGCAGAAGGGTGCATTTTGTGCAGAATGCACCCTCCTTGCTATTGGAATTAAGCTAAGTAGGTACCTGCATGGTGTCCCTATATGGAGGGCACCTGTAGGCACTTAACAACTCTGCCTAATGGTAAATCCAGCCCTGGTGTCAAGGGTGCAACCGCCGATCAGAGCACCAACGGAAAGGCTTCAGTGCATCAGCTGCATAGTGTGGTTGAAGTAAGTACTACAGTCTATTCATTTACCCCTAAACCTAACAGGCATTTAACCCTTGCAGTGTATGATTCGCCAGTGCGTTCGGTGTGGAGCGCAGCCGACGCCAGCGCAGTGACGTCTATCTGCGGCAGCGCTCCACGGTGAAACGCAGAAGTGTCGAGAGTGGCGTGAGACTCCTCCCACCCGCGCTTACGTGTATTGCTTAAATACCGGCTCAGGGGAATAGCAAGGTGTTCCCTTATTCTGGATCTCACACCTGCTATCCCCGAATGACGGTAACCCCACCAGAGGACTCAGCCTCCAACCTGTTCCTGCCTGAAGCCTCCACTGGACTCATCCTCCTAAACTGTGCATACCTGCAGCCCCACCTGAGGTCTCCAACCTGCTCCCAGCTGAAGCTCTCCCTGCCTGGACTACCCACCTTAGGACGGACGCTCCACTCACCTGGCATCCGCTGCTCCAGATCCCCACTGGGAACCTCAAGTACCCTCCTGTTATAGAGAACCATCATATTACGCATGTGCCTGAATATATGTGCTAGTGTAATACATATACTGCATTACTACCAGCTGTAATCAACCTAGCACCTTGCATTGTCAATGTAGTGGACTGTAGTTTAAACTCATATTGGGCTCTGCCGTGCGTACTTGGTACAAACATTGTGCTCATAACCTCTGCGGGCTAATTCTGCTTGAAACTGCTTGTGCATATACCTGTAACCAAACCATTGTAAAAGGTATGAAGTAATACCTTCCCTCTATTTGCTAAATGTGCAAAGATTACCATCGCCAGCCTAAAAAAAAAAAACAACGGGCTCATGATGTCATCAACTCCTAACTCTCTGCACTAGATTGAGAGTGACGCCAGGAGATCCAGACTGATTGCCCCCCCATTAACTCCAGTAAAGATTTCAAGTTCCGCAGTTGTGGTTCAATTTCTGAATTCTAGTAGGTGCTGACACAGTGCAGGAAGGCCCCGCTGCAAGGGTAATTATTTATATTGGACGGAGTGGGGCTTTAAGACACCTACCCATTCCTCTGTTATCCACTGTAATGTCAGAATTAATGATAAAAATATTATACTTTGTAGCACTTGAAGTCAGTTCAAGGTAGTTTCAATGTATTATATAGAATGTAAGTGTTGGGCTTGTTGATCACTTTTATTAGTGTATTTATGTTATACAGTATGTACAAACACACACACACAAACACACCACCACCTAGGTTTCGCACCTACACATGGTAAGGGTCTCTGTTTTCTCAGGTATCAACAAGTTCTGGACTGGGTCTTGGAGCCCAGGAGGTTTGTAGAACTTTGGGTGGGGTAAAACCTCAAGTGCTAGCTCCACGTCCTACCTGTTAGCCAAACCTTACTACTATGCCTCAGCAACCCAAGGTCCTTTTAATATCGGACCTGACTGCTGCTAGATGCTTTCTGTCTCTGCTGTGAGAACCTGCTGGATAGGAAGGCTAACTTCTAACAATACACTTAAATTGGCACCAGAACTTCCTGTTTGTTTGGGGGACCCAAAAGTGGTCACCCTGTTAGTCAGAAACAGATTTGAATTTAGTTAGTGGTTTGGCAGATGTCTTGTTTTATGCTTTGGACTTCTTGTAACAAATCAACCTTCATTAATGTTATCTTTGCCTACTGCCTTGCTGAATAAAAGTGCATACAGTAAATATGGGCTGTCCCGTATGAGAACACTTGACTCTGTATATTGCTTGCACACACAAGACACTTGCAACTCTAATTTTGTAATCAAATCCTACACAAAAACCTACCTTCTCCATCCCTTTAGTGGCTCCAAGCTCACCTTCAGAATACAGCAGGTAGTAAAGGATGCAACCAACCATGACATTATTAAGACAGTCACAAAGATAATTATCCTTATAGGTAGAATGAAAAGACCACATAGCATTATCTGAAACAAAGAGTTTTGCAATTAATGTAATAATTAAACATCAATATAATGGATATATACAGCTGAACAATCCCTCAGGTAGTCATACAGATCTCTATGGATGTAACCATGGATAACAGTAAATGTAGTAGAAGAGATGTTGTCACATATTCTACTTAAAACATTAAAGTCATTGCAGTTTTCATGGCTGCATAGAAAAGTTCCTTGTTGAATTTCATATTCAAACTTGTTATGCCATATTGAACATGGAAGCTGCAATGTCTTGGAAGCTGCAATGTGAATTTCAGTACTCAGCATTAACAGATAACATAGGTTCACCTATACATTCATGCAAAACTTATAAAATAATTTGTCTAGCTGAAGTCTGCGATTGGCAGACTGATAATAAACCAAGCATTTCAAGGCCTAATGATGAAAACTAAAGCTAGCAACAGTCCAGCAAATCAAAGCTGTTAACTGATTTGCACATAACTGCCGCTGAAGCTGTCAAAAATCGGGCTGATTTGAGTCTCCAGTCAACTAGAAGAGCATGCAAGTTCAACCCTTTTGGTATGTTTAACAAAGCTAAAAAGGAAACAACAAGCTTTAAAAATCTTAAAGCTGAACAATCAGCAAACAGATAAATACTTATAAAAAGGAGTTTAATGTATTTCTGTTAATCCAGTTCTGAGATTTAAACAGCTCTGCCACACAGCATAGCCCTGTCTAGCAGGGAATGGAACTTCACCTTTCTCTTTTGCAGTTTTACTTTCATATTCACATCCCCCCTCCATCCAGGGCCAGTGCAAGGATTTTTGCCTACACAGGCAAAGGTGCATTTTTGCACCCCCCCAGCGCGCTAGCGCTGGCCCTGAACATATTGCTCAGTCTACCCCAAAACCTGGAAGCATTTCCTCGCTAGGAGCAGATCACACTTTAAAGGCTAAATTCATCTTTCTGACCATGTTCCATGCTACACCCATATTCACGGTGTAACGTGTAACATGAAAGATGAAACATGAACATATTGTACACACACACACACACACACTGCAGGCTGCTGGTTTTTTTTTTTAAGTTGAGCAGCTGTGTGTGGCTCCCACACAGCCACGTTACCCAGCCACGGGGAGGAGCTACAAATCCCATCTGCCATGTTGGAAGAGGGGCTTGTAGTTTGAGAGGAATACAAGTGTGGTGACATAATCGCACTCGTTGTCCATTAACTCTATAAAGAAATATCAAATCTGCGCTCATGGGTGGTCTTAAAGAACTAAACAAAGGTGTTACAGCTGCTGCACTATGGACATTATTGTCCAGTTAGTGGATGGTAATAAATAAATATGCAGCGCTATGGGTCCAGATTATAACTGGTTAAAAGATTATAACTGGTTAAAAGGGGGGTCTGACCACAAAATGCATTTAAGAATAAAATAAATAAATAGACCTCTTCGAGGTCCAAACTGTGCAAGATTACAATTGGTGCATGTAAGTCTATCATGAATTAATGTACTAAAGGTATAAACCATTACCTCAATACAAACTATAAATCACTACTGATCATAACGTGCATGCATAAATTCATAAAAGTCCAAATGATTGTATCAAATCCAATGTGGTTAGTTCGTAGTAGATGAGTGAAAATAAGTCGTAGTATATAATCCCAAAACATGCTGGTGGTCTTTTCAAAGACCGTGATTGTGTCCACGCCAACACTCCCTCAGGAGTGCACAGTCTGAACCTCTAAGAGGTCTATTTATTTATTTATTCTTAAACACATTTTGTGGTCATTGTTTTATTTACATCCCTTAGACCAGACCCCCCCCCCCCTTTTAACCAGTTATAATCTGGACCTATAACACTGCATAGTTATTTATTACTGTCCATTAACTCTGCCTTCTGTCCATATTACTACATGTCTGTACCTCAGTACGGGCATTGACAGAGATAAGGATGCACCGATACCCATTTTTTCAAGTCGAGTACCAATACTTTTCCTCAAGTACTCGCCGATACCAATTATTGATACCTTTTTTAGTGTCATGTGACAGTTTTTCTAAAACAAACCAGACTAAATGATTTTAGGACAGTGGCGCAGTGCAGAATACCACCAGCAATAGAGGACAACAAATCCCAGCAATACATTATACAGCAGTGCAGAATACCACCAGCTATGCAAGACTACAAATCCCAATAATGCATTATACATTAATGCAGAATAATATGAAGCTACATACTTTATGCTGACCCAGGGTGCCGGCCTGCTGTGTGGAGTCTCAAGAGGAATGTGCTGGGTCCCAGATGGGTCGTGGAGGGCTGTGGAGGATCTCAGGAGGGCTCTTCTGCACTCTCTTCTATGAAGTATTGAAAGGCTGCTCCAGAGACAGGCGAATTGGCCATAGTCAGATGAGCCCTGCAGGCCACACACTCTGCACATGGGAGCTGCAGCTCACTGCTGTCCAGGAAAACTTAGGCTTTTTAGGCTTGCAGTGAGCTACAGGAGTTTCCGGGACAGACTTCTTGCGGCCTGGCTCGGTGTGCGGGAAGGGGACGTAGCACGCTGGTGGTGGTGATGTATATGGGTTGCAGGAAGCAGTGTTAGGTGGGATGCATTTCTGAAGGCGGTATCAGGGGCTTGTTATGCGGCACAATTATGAGCGATGGGCTTCACTATGTGTGTGATCAGCAGTGATCCTGGTTGCTTTATGTGATAACATATACATACATACATACATACATACATACAGACACCTTGCAGCACCAGAGTACCGCCACTGTACCTGCACACACACACACAGAACAGGGGGGGTGCACACACACACACACAGAACAGAGGGTGCACACACACACAGAACATGGGGTGCATACACACAACAGGGGGCACATACACACAACAGGGGGCACATACATATCTTGCAGCTCCAGCTCCTACAGTCCGCATGCTGGCCAGGAGGACTTACTACAAGGCATGGGCATGTCATGGCTCTCAGTTAGATCAGCGTACACAGCACACAGCAGGGGGCTGGGACTCCTCTCAAATGCTCTTCCTTCATTCCACACAGTGGCTGGGAGAACTCATGCCAGGGGTGACAGGTACGATCAGCGCTCGCAGCAGAGAACAGGGGGCCAGGTTCGGACTACACTAACGGGAGCGCCGTCCATCCACTGGTTACATGATTTTTTGCGCCCCACTCCTCTGGCGCCCTCAGGCAGCTGCATGTGCTGCTTACACTTGTGCCAGGCGTGCCTCCATCCTGTAATTGGACAGTGAAAAAAGAAGCAGGACACTGATGAGCTCATCTCACTCTCTCCTCCTTGCACTGCTGCACGCTGTGTAGACTGCAAAAGGCTGCTTGCATTTAAAAATTATATAATTATATATTGAGTAGCAAAATGCGGGTATTTTATATCTGCCTGGAATTCAGCTTTAAAATAAAATAGCATAAAAGTCAACCCTTCAAAATTCAGAATAGAATAAAAGCCTTCTGTGGAGGGAGGTTATACCTTCTGGCATTTATTTCTGTCTGTATCCCCACTCGGTACCTGTCAGAATACCTAATCAGAGCGGGCATCTCTGATTGATCAAAAATTTTCCACCTGGCTCCTTCGATCAGCTGATCGAGGAATACCAGCTGAAATGGAGCCGACAGCTCCACACACTCCGTCCGGTACATTAGAGAACAATGGGGTCAGTGTTTTTTCACATAGTTCTCCTTAGGGTAACGGGAGGACACAAACTAGCATCCTCCCGTTACGCTAAGCTCAGTAGACCGCTAGCTACAGCTCGCGGTATACTGGTAGTGTGCAGCTTCTGAGAAGATACGCTATTAGCATAGCGGGGAAGGCAGCTGCGCATTTTGCATCATTCCCGCTGCGCTAATAGCATCTCTTCTCAGAAGCTGCACACTGCGCGATCTCCTGCGGCCGTCCAGATGGCCTGTACACGAGGCCGACACGGAGGAGCCCTCCCTCAATGCACGGAAGGCAGTGGATGATGACATCACCTTCCCTCTGCGCTGGAGACAGTCTCCCCTGCCTGCTCCTGGACGCGGGGCACAGAGGGGATAGAGAAGCGGCTCCCTCGACACCTGTGGAGGGGGTAAGATTTAATGAAACGTGGGATGAGCCCCCAGAGCAGATGGCTAGGCCGCAACATACTCCCAGATCCAGGGACTCTAGTGCAGGCCGCCCCACCCCCCTTAAAAGCCGCATCGCGGCCCCTGACCAGACCTCTGGAGTTAATACATGCAGCCGAGTGTGAGGATATGCATGCCCAAGCCCAGCCTCCACAAAAACGTGGGATCGAGCAGTCCCCAGATCAACTCTCCACATCGGAAGCGGATGACGCGGATTATACTTCATGGCGTGAATGCATGAAGCATATCCCAACTAAAAAGGACTTCAGATTGCTAGTGCAAGAGGTGAGAGATACCTGTAAATCTGAAATACAGGTGCTCCACAATGACTTCAAGCACTTGACTCAAAGAGTGGAGGACATAGAGGTGGAAGTGAACCACACTAAACTGGATTTGTACCAACTCCAATCCAATTTTATAACGCAAGCTAACGCCATCCGAGATTTGCAGAGACACATGGAAGATCTTGATAATCGTGGAAGACGAAACAATCTTCGCCTCAAGGGTCTGCCGGAAGCCACTGGTCCTGAGGACTTACAAGATGTTTTACAAACGCTCTTTAATCATATCTTGGGTGCCCCCTCCACTAACAACATACTTATTGATCGAGCCCACAGAGCTCTCCATCCTAGGGGATCCTCCACCAACCCGAGAGATATCATCTGTAGGATACATTATGTTAAAGTGAAAGAGGAGATCCTACAGAAAGCCCGCAACATGAGGTAATTGGAATTTGATGGAGCTCCTCTACAACTATATCCGGATCTTTCCTGGGTCACACTACAGCAAAGAAGGTGCCTACAACCACTGTTGACCTTATTGCGAGACAATGACATACCATATAGATGGGGTTTCCCCTTTAGCCTCACAGCTCGTAGGGATGGTAGG